GATGATAAGCAAGACTAGTATTTTGATCAAAACATTGTAACGACAATATTACAGTAGCGCGACATATCGCAGTAGTAGTAGTAGTAGTAGTAGTAGCAGCAGCAGTAGTAGTAGTAGTAGTAGTAGTAGTAGAGTCCGCCCTGAGTGAGTACTACTACTACTACTACTACTACTACTACTACTACTAAACTACTACTACTACTACTACTACTACTACTACTACCGCAACAAAGCGACTACTACTACCGCTAACTAGAAACTCCGACGACGACCGACTGCTACTACCACCGCTACTACTTCTGCAATTCCTTTGGCGGGAGGGTATGCTTACTTCTGGTCGCTGGTGCCAATGCTAGCAGTACATGTTTTTCGCATTCGTTCCCCAGCAGAACTAACATTGCCGTCACTCTCATCAGTCTCACTACTATTGTATCTCTGACTCAGGTCGAGAGGGACGAGGACATGCCCTGTGAAGGACAGATAGGGGCTCAAAGAACAGAAACCGCTGCATGCTTTCAGCCGTATGTTGTCGGCAGATTCGGAGCCTTGCGCAGTCGTTTTGAAACAAATTCATGCAAACATATCTGAAGAATAACATATCTGAAGAATTTTGACTGAACGTAGCTAAAAGCTTGCTACAGCATGCCTTGCTGCCACAGTTGTGTGCCTGAGTCGTTTGCACTCTGCGCACTGAAGAAGGCGCGAATGCCGCGAGCGCCGAACCCGCAGGGTCCGTGCATACCCAGGGCTATGAACCATTGAGCCGTTCATTTGTCATTCTGTATGCATCATTATCGAACGCATAATTCGAACGCATAATGAAGATAAGCACCTAAATAAATAAACAACTGTTTGCTCTATATACATATGTACATGTAGAGATACATCTTCATCTTTACATACAGTTGTGTGTTTATTGGTTTACAGTTATTTGCTTAGTTTATTTGTTTCTTATGCAAGCATGTGTGCCTGTCCACAGACGCAGACACACGCGCACAGACACACACACACATA